AGGATGTTTTCATTGCAAATCCAAGCGGCGGTCTTCATAAGAGTGAGGTCCCCCAAAAACATGCCCCTTAAGTGTATGAGGTCTCAGGTGTGTACACCGCTGCAAATTGTTGCTGGCTGCTGCTGCTGGCTGCTGCTGCTGCTGCTGCTGCTGGCTGCTGCTGGCTGCTGCTGCTGCTGCTGCTGGCTGCTGCTGGCTGCTGCTGCGGCTGCTGCTGCTGCGGCTGCTGCTGCTGGCTGCTGCTGCTGCTGCTGGCTGCTGCTGCTGGCTGCTGCGGCTGCTGCTGGCTGCTGCTGCTGCGGCTGCTGCTGCTGGCTGCTGGCTGCTGCTGCTGCTGCTGCTGGCTGCTGCTGCAACTCATTGCTGGGATCTGCAGAAACAAAGAAAATGCAAACTACAGAAATGGGCCACTCCTGATCCAAGGCATCTACGACTTCCGCGCGACTTGCGCGCGACTCGCGCGCGACTTGCGCGAAAATTTAGCAATCTTCCGGATTCTTTCGACCATGCGGATGATGATGATGATGATGATGATGATGATGATGATGATGATGATGATGATGATGATGATGATGATGATGATGATGATGAATCATCACTGCGTCACTGCGTCACTTGCGCTTCACTTGCGCTTTACTTGCGCGGCCCCATGTTTGACTTGCGCGGCCGCTCCTGCAACACACTCCTGCCATTCAAATTACAAGCGGCGGTGCAGCTAAATTGATAGGTCCAAAAGACCTGGGATCATGCCTGACATTGACACATACAACGGTTTTTTTTCCGACTCAATTGAAATCTGGGGGGTGTCAACCTGCTCCCCCAGATCGTTGATCTCACTCAGAATGCGTTGAAATCTCTTTGGTCTGCTATACTGCTGCACTGCTGCACAAGGACGGCTCGTTTCTTGTCGAAGTCTACAGCGGTCATGGATGTGGAGCTATGCCCCGCGTCATTTAAATCTTCGTAGCGGTTGACAACAGAAGCAGCAGCGGTAGTGGTGCGAATAGTCTTGGCCCTAGCCTCAGCAAGGATAGTTCGTTGTGAGTTGTCAAGGTATGGTTCAAGTATGATACGCAGGTTTAATTCAGCGCGCTCCAAGTAGCAGTAGCTACATCAAAAATGAGTCCGCAAACAACAGGAGCCGTGTTGAACATAAGGGCGACCACGTGCCACACAGCGAATGAACGGAAGAAGGAGCACTCGACCCTCAGACCTCGGTAGTGCCAGCAGTAGCAGCAGCAATAGTAGCAGTTGCAGTCGCGTGAGCAGTGGTGCAGTAGCAAAAGTAGCAGTAGCAAAAGTAGCAGTAGCCGTAGCAGTAGCAGTGATTGGAGCAGTAGCAGTAGCAGCAGCAGCAGAAGTAAAGAGTAGACATAGTAGTAGTAGCGGTTGGCAGCAGCAGGTAAGGGACATGGCATCTTGCAGCATACGGTTTGAAGGGGCGTGAATCGAGGGCATAGTATCATTCGGGGGTATGATTCGCGGGTGGATGATTCGGGGATATAATTCGCAGTCATGATTCGCTAAGGCCCCACCTTCTGCTCAACATGACAAATAACAAACAAAAAACAATTGTCAGCGTTGGGGTCGACTGCTGCTCCCTCCGCATCGTGCGCATCATTTTTTGGTCCAGACAAGCATGACCTCCTGCTGGCCAGGCCTGTCTGACGTGTCTGAGACTAGCGTCACAGCCCAACCAGCAACCCACCAAGCAAGGCCCAGCCCAGTCAACCAGCAGCGCAATATTTGAGACTCGCCCAACCAGCAACTTATGCAAGCAGGCCCAGCCCAACCAGCAACCCACCAAAGCAATCAAACAAACCAGCCTTGTCTCAACCTGACATGTTGGAGACTCACTAGCCTCAGGCCAGTGTCTGAGACTCGCCTCAGGCCCAGCCCAACCAGCAACCACCCAAGCAAGGCCCAGCCCAGGCCCCAGGCAGGCCCGCCAACCAGCAGCGCAGTCCGGCTGCCTAATATTTGAGACTCGCCGAACCAGACACGTCAGACAAACCAGCCTTGTCTCAACCTGACATGTCTAAGACTAGAATCACATGTCTGAGACTAGTGTCAGGCCCAGCCCAGTGTCTGAGACTTCAAAATTGCCCCTAGGACACACCACTTCTGGATATCCTTGAAAGATAGGTACAACATAATTTCCAAATACTCCAAACAGGCATGGCTAAACAGAACATCAGAAAGCTGTGAAATTAATGTTTACAGTGTACAGTTCTGGTTTTCTGGAGACATGATCCTATGTCCTGATCAATATAAGTCTATTCTTGTAAGGACTGATGTTGATGTGCCGGAGATTCCGAAGATGAATCCAAATATCAAAGAATGGATTCCCACGCCTTGATGATTTCAACGGTTAACTCGTGAAGAAAGAAAAGTATAGTAGATTGAAAAAAAAAGCAACTAGTTGTTTAATGAGTTCATATGTGATGAAGACATAAGACCCTGAAACGCACCCAAAAGCGATCCAGAATATGAATATGTGATTCTCATGTTGAATAGCTATTGTGTATTACATCTCATTTACAATCCGATCCTTTCCTCTGACAATCAATTAATTTTGGAATCTTGGTTTGTTACTTGCAATTGCTATGTTCTTACAAGTGTTCTAGTATCCTCTTTCTAATTTATTTAATTAGAGACATGTATTATGATGGTGTGGGCGTCATCATTCATTCGAATGGTGCATCATCTGTCAATCTGTTTATATTTCTACATCTTGGCTATATCGTATGCTTCATAGTGATAGACATATATGTTACTATATATAATATATAGTCCTACCACTTGGTTTTTCCCCAGATGGCTGAAAGCTATAGGGGTTCTAACTTCTAATAAAGAGGGGGAAGTTATTTGCGAGATTGACGGGCTGGTGCTAGGGGGCGTGCAGTTTGGGCTGCTGGTGAAGGTGCTGTTTGGTGCGCTGCTTGAGGTACTGGTGAGATTGGCGGCTGGGTGCTAGCAGGCATGCAGGTGACGGTGCGGGCGCGGTTTTGCAAGAGTGACGGTAGAGTGCAAGGGGGCATGCAGCTTGGGGTGCTGGTGCAGGTGGTGTTTTGGGATGCTGTCTGGGCTGCTGTTTGAGGTGACTGTGCGGTGCCGGCGTGGGTGCATTTTTGCGAGATTGATGGTAAGGGGGCATGCAGTTTGGGGTGCAGGTGCAGGTGGTTGTTTGGGGTGCTGTTCGGGGTGCTGTTTGGGGTGCTGTTTGGGGTGTGTTTGGGGTGCTGTTTGAGGTGCTGGTGACGGTGCGGCGTTTTCACGAGATTGTGCTGTCGGAGGTGCTGGAGCACAATCGTCGGCATGTTTTTCGCTGTCTGGAATCTATGCTGGTGTAATCTCGGTTTCTTTTTTCCCCCCAATAGCTGAAAGCTATAGGGGTTCCAACTTCTAATCAAGAAGGGAAAGTGATTTGCGAGACGACTGGATGCTAGGGGGCCGGTGCAGGCTCTGTTTTGGGGCCCTGGCGCAGGTGCTGTTGGAGGTGCTGGTGTTGGTGCGGGGTGTGTGGGCGCATTTTTGCGAGTGTGGGGGGGGGGGGGGGGAGCAATTTTGACAGCTGGGATGCTGGGGGCGTGCAGTTTTGGGGCATTGGTGCAGTTGGAAGTTCTGAATGGCTTGAGTCGCCTTTGCGGCCTAGGTCAAGGGCGCAATCTTTGATCTGTTCTACGCTATCTGGGGTCTATGCTGGTGTAATTTACTTCTTAATGGGGACGGCATTTAAGGGTTTTGGTTCACCGAATGGACAAGTAGGTTTACGGGGCGTTATAGTAATTACAATTTATCGCCAATTCCATATTTCATAGAATGGCCTTGTGCAGGACATTATTATAATCAAACATTGACGAGGTTATGTGTCTGTAATTGTCTACGTCCATTTCTTCGTTGGGTTTCTTCTTTACCATGAGATTGATCTACATGTTCGGTCTTCTGATAACTCCACTAACAGTAAAATAGCATTTGTGTCTTTCATTTTGAGTAAAGGTTTCTATGGAAACACATGGATTCTCGGCGTCTCTTCTTGCTTTCATGCAAATCATGCATTAGAAGCATGTGGATTGCTGGCTCCTTTTCCGTGTGGTACCTGAATGTTACTTCTTGTGCCAATATGCTAATAATGTCAAAAGCTGTGCCAATTGAAAAAGGACTCATTATCTTGCTTGCTCCTATCTTCATCTTATTTCACTGTATGAGAAGTCTCTCACCGTCGATCTATTTTATAATATTAACATCTAGTAGATGTCATATTTGTCTTTTCAAAATACGTCAAACTTTATGTTATATATTTTTTGTCTGTTAATATTTTCCCTCGTGTTCTCTCGTGCCACAAACAAGACTCAATAATTTGGACACTTTCACATCTGCCTTTCTCTTGTCCTATCTCTTTGTCTCTTATTCATTTTGTTGTCATTCTGGATTGACCGCCTGCCGGCACTTCCATGAGATGTGTCTTCTTTGCTTGTGTGCTTGTTTGACTCAGTTTAGTGGTGTGTGGCTGTGTATGTGTGTGTGTGTGTGTGTGTGGGAGTATTTGTGTGTGTGTGTGTGTATGTGTGTGTATATATGTGTGTGTGTGTGTATGTGTAAGCGTGTGCGAATGTGTGCGCGCGCGCGCGGGCGTGCGTGCGTGCGTGCGTGCGTGCGTGCGTGCGTGCGTGCGTGCGTGCGTGCGTGCGTGCGTGGGTGGGTGGGTGGGTGGGTGGGTGGGTGGGTGGGTGGGTGGGTGGGTGGGTGGGTGGGTGGTGGTGGGTGGGTGGGTGGGTGGGTGGGTGGGTGGGTGGGTGGGTGGGTGGTGGGTGGGTGGGTGGGTGGGTGGGTGGGTGGGTGGTGTGTGCTTGTACGTGTGTGTGTGTGTGTTTGTACGTGTGTGTGTGTGTGTACGTGTTTGTGTGTATATGGGTGTGTGTGTGTGTGTGCTCTGTGCTGTGTGCTCTTGTGCTGTGCCATGTGTTGGCCCCACTTCAAGAGCCGTCAAGTGCCGAGGCCTTGCTGATGTCTGGGAAGGGCAGCAAGTCATACTTTCGCAGCACCTGTCGCCATGGCCTGGCGAAGACTGGCAGACTTTTCTCGCATGGATTTCTGACCAGGCTGGCGAAATAACGATCAACTTGCCAGAGGCCCCGCGTTCTTTTTCAATTTCGAGCGCATCTGAAATGTAGAATTACAATCTCGACCGCCTATCCAAGACAGGCAAAGGCTTAGCGTGCGAATCGCAGGGTCTTCTGCCCTTCGAGTCTTAAGTCTTCCGGCATTTCCCGTTCCCAATGGGAGACACAGACTGCCGAATTTCGAGCAATTCTAGACAGGCTACATTGGCTTAGCTTAAGAAAAGCGGGGAAGGCAATTATGCCTTGCACACAAAGTCCGGCGCAGATCGCGTGCCAGACTGCTGGCAAAGACCATCTCCTTGGTCTGAAAACGCAATCTAGCCAGAAAGCAATCTAGCCAACGCACCTACCCCAAAATGGTACCATTGGTTTTGACTCACAGCCATATTTGAAGCATTCAATGACTGAGCTGCCAACCTGGTGGATCTTGCAGGATCTGCATCAGGCAGTCTTATCCATGAGATTGAGGAAAGTCTTATGGTCAAAACTCCTGGCCAAAGTCCTGGTTCCCTTTGGAATCCTCATCATTCTCAAAATTATCCATTTGGGGTCCACAAAACAAGCGGTCTTTTGACCATGGCACACAGGACTCCATGCGCAGGCCTCATCTCGAAGCATTGTTACTACCAGGGCAGCGCCATCTGTGTCCTTCCGGCATGAAATGCACGTCATGCGTGGTGCATCCGATGATACTAGTCCCCTTGAATGAGAGGTTCGGAAGGAACCTTCAGGTAAGATGTCGTGTTGTCAAAGTCCCACCCTGCCTGAGCCTGCAGAGCTCGCCTCAAGCTGAGGCATGCTTATCCAGGCAAAGGGCAAATGGGTTCTGCAAGCTGGAACCCGCCTAATAGAATCCCTTTTGAGTCTGCGATGGCTGCAATTTGACTGAAATCACAGATCAATCTGAAGAGATCTCGGAAGCGCGGATGGGAATCTGAGAGATTGGCCCACTTGACCTGGGGTTCAGACCACAAATCTTCAGCCGCCGCCACACACAGGAACTGCAGTTCCTGTGCATAGGCATCCTGAGCATAAGCTGGCGTAAACACACAGAGTCACAACGCATGCCCGCCCACGCTCGCACACGCACCCACCCCTCTACCCACGCGAGCACGCACATGCGGCCGCACGCGCCCACACGCACACGCACACGCACACGCACTCACACACACACACAAACAAAAAAGAGAGTTGTATTTCCCAGCCCCACGGAGTGCCTGAGGATCGTAGAAGCCATCGACTGGATCACAATCAAGGCCTCGAAACAGTCTCAAGAGATGCCTTACTTTCACTGATTCATCGCAAAGCCATTCGCAAAGTGTCTTATCGAATACACTCCAGCGATGTCCACCTACGCATGATGCTTTGCCGGCATGGCCATTCAACGAAGGAACCAGATCTTGAAGAAGGCAATGCACAGAAGGCAATATGTGACGAGAAATAGGACAGCTACCAACCTGCGTTTCTCCACCCAACATTCGCGGGCTCTGAAGCTTTCCCGTGAGAATGAATCTGGGGCCAAAACTGCCATCAGAGGCACTTCTGGAACTTCTGCCTGTACCATCCTGGCATCACAAAAACACCTGCGACTGAGAAAGTTTGGGAAAAACGCGCAATTCTGTGTCCAGACCAACCAAAACGCGCTTGTGGCTATTAAAATGCATAGAGTCACACGTGTGATGTATCCAATGAGCACGACATGGCAGCTGCTGCGCTGGCCTTACCAACGAAAGAGTCGATACCTGGCAAGCCACTTGACTCCAAATGGACTGGGTATCTTTTCACATCTTTTCACACCTTCTCCGTTCTGTTCTTTTCGACATGTGGGCAACATGGTTGTTGAAACCTTTTTTCGATGCACAGCATCATGCACGATGTGGCTTTCAGGAGTCTGGGAGCTTGGCACTCAGCGAGGCCTTCTTTCTCCGGTGTAGCCTGCGACGTGCCGCCCACTCATTTGGGTGTCGTTTTGGAGGATGCCGCTCTCGGGTGGCTTTAAAGGGGAAAACCCAAGGGAAGACAAACATGTGAGTATCTGCCAAAGTAGGGGGGCGCAAAGTTCTTTGTCCTGGTGGTTTCTCTTACCAACCTGAGAAGAGCAATTCCACAAAACATTTCACGAGAGGCCTCAAGGAGAGCTGTCACCTCCCGCTGCAGCAGAGCGATAGAGCACCTGCTCATAGTGGGTCAAAAATAGGGTGCCCAACATGGAATCCTGGCAAATGCAAACAAGAACCAAAACCTGCGGTCAACGGCTGGTTTGATTTTGACCCACCCCACTACGCAGCCCTTTCATGTGAGTTATTCTCAGAACAGGACCTCAAGACTGGGATGCTTCCGTTGGGATCCCTCTGAAACTACCCAAAACGGGGCTCACCATTTTGAGCAGCCCTCAAAAGGAACCAAAGAACCAAAGGGGCGGTTCCTATGTCCGCATCATCCAGCATCCCAGTTCCTTCCTTTCCCAGCTTGGAGATTACCATCCCCTTGTTCCCCTCGTTCGGCGGTTCGCCTGCGCCGCCCGGCGAACTGCACCACCTGCGCCAGCGCTTCCATGGCTCTTCTCAGGCGGCGCACCTCCTGCAGCCTGCGGCTTCACGATCATGTGGCGGATGCCCTAAAAACTGCAGAAAGGGAACAAGCAAAAACAAGCAACACGTCTAAGTTGCCCAAAAAAAGTTCTCGTGATCGTGTGGTTGAGTATGGTTGGGTTAGGACTTTGACCCACATAGAACTCAAGATGCAGGGATTGAGTTGGGATGTGATTTGAAGTCATCATGCCCCCTCAAGGTATGAAGAGTCCAGTCATCAAAGCTCAGCCGCCCTTTTTCTTCGCGAATTGCTTTCTGGGATTTGTATCCGGTCCTTTTCAGCGTGGATTAAAGGTGGCTTGGGGTCAGGGTGGGTTTAGGGTGGGCTCAGCGCCAGTGTTTAGTTTCAGGTGCAACCCTAGTGTTTCCTTCACACCCTAGTGTTTCTCTTCAATAGTGTTATCGTTCTCGTTTTGCCGCCACATCGTTTAAGCACACTTCCGCAGCTCCAGCTTGCAACTTTTGAGTACAAGTGTAGTATGCGAATTACACTTCCGCGGCTCAAGCTCAAAATCGTAACCGAAGGCACTTCCGCAGCTCCAGCTCGAAAATCGCAACTTTTGAGTACCAATTTCGTACACGATCGACATACGCTTTGTCAGCTCCAGTGTTCAGTCGTTGCACTCAAAAAACGCGTGGATGTGAGGCGTGCAAAAACATTTTTTCCTCTTCAAAACTTCCACATGTTCGTTTTGTTCAGCTAGCAAGTCTGGCCTGTTTGCTTCCGACCCTTTTGCAGCAGGTCCTGTCACTGAAAAGCTTTACTTTTCGAAGAGTTGCGATGGATTGGTGCCCTCAGCCTCCAGAGATCGCGGAAGAGCCTGAGGTATCCCAGCGTCTCCGCTTCCTGGAGTGTCCACATCCCGTTTCAGATCCCCTGGGTTTTTTGTGTCGGGCGTCTGACTTAGGCAAGATTCGGATGGGAAAATCACATTGAGATAGTGATGCAAAAGGAGATGTCCTTCCCTTAATTACTACCTTCTACGCGGGGTCTGATTGTGGCTGATGGAAGGTCCTGCGATTCCTCGTGCTCGAGGCGGAAGCTCTCAGATGTGGCTGAGGCCCAGTCCGAGCGGAGAGCGTCGGGATCCTGCAACGCATTTACTCAGTGACTCGCGGGCTGAATTATTTGACGATTTCCACACATTAACCCCATGTCCCAGTGGTTGTGTGGTGAGTGTGCAGCATGATCCCCTTTGCTATCGCAGATGACAGTCAATATTGACCGTTGCGCGTGGATTGATTCGGTCCTCTGAGTCCGCTTCAAGCCTCGAGGCAAAGGAACTCGGTAGATCCCAATAACTGGCTTCAGCCTATGTTGAAGACGCTGTCGGCAAAAGCAAAGGACATTTACCACGTTGGCATTGACGGTACTGGATATCAGCCATATGGCTCTTGCACATTTTTTGAATGAAAGGACTCACTAATTCTTCAACAAAAGACCAAAGTGACTCGCCAATTGTCAATGACAACAGGAAAGCGCACATATTTTCGCGGGGCCCCCTTGACAGCTATCATCTGCAGCTGGGCAGCTCAGGCAACCTGTCTTTCCATTCCTTGGGCCACTCACCAGGTCGACCCAACCTTCATGCTTACACAGTGAAGTAGCCGAGCATCGAAACTCGAGATTATCCTACCCGCCGTTGAGGATTTTGCTAAGCTAATGCAAGGTCCCAATGCGTATTCAGTGGAACGTCTGTGTGTGTGTGTGTGTCTGTGTGTGTGGGTGTCTGTGTGCGTGTGCGGAGTTCCTGAGACAAAAACCAACTCTCATCCATGATAGCCGTGCCAACGAAGCTACGGAAATCAGGTGGATGAGAGGCTGGACGCAGCATCCACCTGCAGGTTTGTGATGTGACGTCCATTTCGCCTATATATTGTTTCTCGCGCTGTGTGCGCTTTATGTTGGAATGGTAACGGGTTCGACTCTAGAGAGACGCTTCACTCGAAGCCCCCACTCAAACGGATTACTCGAACATTCGAACATTCTACTCGAATCGACTGCGGTCTCCTTCGTGAGTTTAAGTGTGTGTCTGTGTCTTTTCTCTCTGTCTCTGTGTGTGTGTGTGTCTGTCTGTGTGTGTGTGTCTCTCTGTTATGTGTGTGTGTGTGGTGTGTGTGTGTGTGTAAATATGTGTGCTCATGTGTCTGCGTTCACGTGTGCGTGTTCGCGCGCGTTCTCGCGCACGGGCGCGGGTGCGTGCGTGGGCGGGCGGGCGAGCATCTGTCTGTGTGTCTGTTCCTCTGTCTCACTGTCTCACTCTCTCTCTCTCTCTCTCTCTCTCCCTGTCTCTCTGTCTCAGGTGGCGAGCGTGCGCGTGCGTGCGTGTGTGTGCGTTCTTCTGTGCGCGTGCGTGCTTCAAAGTACGGGGGTTCCCTGACTTCCTTGTGAACCAAGGTGAAAAAGGGTACCCTCAACAAAATGGAGCCACCCAAGAGCACCTGTGATCAACCCACACAGATTGGCACCAACGAACTCTCGGCTCCGGGCTGCTTTCCTGTGCTTGGCAACCTCGCACTCTAACGGGAAGCCATGGAAAGATTCTGACCTTTATTGGTCCTTCATGGCACGTGATAGTCACTCATACTCAATAGTCTCCAGTACAGTAGTCACTAATAGAATGCAATGGCTCCCCTTGGCTCTGAATCAGCATAAAGACAACAACTGCCTGTTTCAGGACGTCTTCATGAAGAGTCAAGGCCTCATTGAAAGAGCACCCATACACGTTTCAAGGCATAGCCGCCTCGACCAACCGCAAGTAGTCGGAGCTTTGGTTGCTCAAGCATATGCCCAAATGTCTGAGAGGATGCGCCTGGCCACGAGTCATACGCCCCGAGGCAAAGAACTTGCGCCGAGCGAAATCTGAAGCGCGCTTTGCGAAATGCTGTCTCAGGCCTGTGGGGGCAAACAGGCCATTGGTGGCTGGCCTGAACCAAGCTTCCCTAAGCAAATCATTGCGTTGAGCCAAAACCCCTGTTCAGAGCTGGAGAAATCCTGAGGCTGGCACCCGACTTGGAAACTCTCCATGCACCGCGGTGCCAAGTGAGTGGCCTCTACGATCTTACGCGCAGGACCAAACCTTTAGCAGCCGGGCGCGATGTTGAAAGACATGTTGCCATATTGCCTTCGAAGCCTTGTACGGAGTGTGAAAGTCGGTGCGGTTTCTGCAACACGGGCTGCTATCGAGTTGCACGTCGAGCACTGTGCAACCGCATGTTTTGACTGCCTTGCGGCTTGAGCATTCTTGGCAGCGGCAATCACTTCATATAAACCACCGCGAATCACATCGCCCAATCTTGCAACACCCCCCTGACTGGGCTTCGATCAATCCAGCAGCTAGTCAATCATCCCAGCTCTTGTTGGGACTTGTGAGGCGAGCAGGCCTGCCATTCTCCTGCGCCAAGTCAAAGTGTGCAGCAGAGCGAGTTGGTCGAGGTTGCAAACAAAGTACTTGATACATGTGTCAATCTCAGCTTGATTTCTCTTGCGTGCCTTGGCCGCGCTTTGCTTGAACTGCTCCACGTTCTGCAGTGACAGCCAACCTACCCGGAAGATGCTGGCGTCTAAAATTGAGTTCGACTCCACTAATCTTCTTCCTACCACCTCAATGTTCTTTGCGCCGTGGAAACAATCAACAGGACGAAGGCCTTCGTCGTTGCCGTTCAGCCTCTCAGCCCAAATCCTGAGGCAAGGAACATGGTCCTGGCTCGCGTTCGCAGAGCTGAGCTGGCTGGGATAGGCAAAAGCCTAGTTGGCCAAGGCTCGGGCCAATTTCGTTCGTCTTCACTCTCCAATCGCCCCCAGTACTTGACCTATGAAGTCTGCCAAGAAAGAGTGCTTATGGCTGCGTGTTGAATGGGGCAGCATCATGTCACACAGTCTGGAGTCCCTTGGGTGAACGTTGAAAGAACTGTGAGGATCCTCAGGCTGTTCTCTGCCGGTATAGGCGCGTTCCGATCTCTATTGGCACCCTGCCTTGATGGTCTCTCCTTGCTGGCAAAGCAGGATCCAGCGGGATGGTGGCGAGGGTGGCCTACAGGGCAAGAGGCCAACGGGTGACGTTCAAAGCTGTCAGCTCCATGCACGTGCAAAACCGAAAGATATCTGCATGAACACGTGTGCGGATTGAACTCAGGCTGAGTGCAGCCTCCCAGCGATCACCAAATCATCGTCGCTGCGGCATGTCTTGACTTTGGACATGGGCAGCCAGCCCTGCCGAGGGCATGATGGTCCGTTGTTGGATTTACTGCGGGACGGAGATGCATGAGACAAATGGTTCTTTAGATCTTACGTCATCCTGTTCAAAGAATTTGATTGTGCTCTACAAAACTGGCAAGATGCAGGTCTGAATGCAGGACCTTGATCTCCTCCTGCCCTTTCTGGGCGTAGATCCACCCCTCCTCCTCCTGACAACTTGGCCCTCCAGTTACCCTGGATTGATAGCTTCGCAGCAAGCCATGGGCTAAAGTGCCAGACAAGTCCTCTACCTCCTGCTTGCCCATGTACAGCACCTTCACAGCTGGCATGGGAGCGGATGCGTCAAAGAGCATCAATCAATATATAGATGAATAGACCCTTGAGGTTGTATAACAACCCCTTTGTTCAACTCCTTATCGGAATCGTTTTGTTGCGTTGTTTCTGTTCTTTCAACCGCGAAATTACGATCGTTTAGCACAAGTATAGTACAAGAAGCACGCTTTGCAGCTCCAGCTCGAAAATCTCAACTTTGCAGTGTACGTGCAGCACACAACGTACGGTGTTGCGCCTCCGGCTCAAAAGTTCAGCCGTTGCACTCGGAAAACGATGTGTATGTGAAAAAAGGCAATTTCTGTGCAAATCGGTATCGTTTCCGTTCAGCTGCCAGGTCTGGCCTGTTTGCACCCAACAACATGTTTTTTCTCCCAGCAGACAAGGCTGCTTCCCACCATCGTTATCGTTTGTTTAACTCCTTCTCGTTTTGCAGTAAGACTGGGCAGTTTTAGACACACGGGACTTCCGAAGACTAAACTTAACTCAACGGGGCGTTCATGCAACCTTGGGGAATTCTGGATCCCTCGTATAAGATTCCCACAGAGGATCGGGCCAAACCCTTGCATCTTTGAAGCACGCTATTGTTTATACCTCTTGCTTCCCCTTGGACCTGGGGACTAGACCCGTGGACCAGGGTCTTTACACCAAAAGTTTATCCAACCCCTCCCCCTCAACCCGCCTGCACTTTGTCACCCTCATGGGCTCGGAGGTAACCTGCAAGCATCGGGTGGGGTGTGCTTCTCATGAGCAGTATTATTCCAAAGTCATGGTGGTGTGTTCCAAACGTTCCGCTGGCATTGGCATCATGGCCCTTTGAACGCTTGCCTGCATCTGGGCCCGCGTAAGACTCAGTGACAACCACGACCTGTCGCACGGGCCGCGACGGTTTGCTGAGTCTTTTACCTGGTCCAGTACAGTGGCATCCTCAAAATTCCCCCCTGCAAGTTCAAGACAGGCACTTCATGCTCCGTGGCAACGTTGGCCAGAAGAAAAAAAGGCTAGTCTACCTTAGACCAAAGGTTGTCCAATGTCCCTTTGTGTTACATAGTTGACTAAGATCAACCCTGCACTTGCCTCTCCGACCAGCAGGATCTGCGACATCAAGTCGCACAACACATTGTCAAAGTAATGAATCGATGAGTCTGTTCGTTTGAAGACCTGAACGCGGTGATTCGATCGCTGCTTTGGAGACACTGGGTGTTGTGTACTGCAAGTGCAAGTATGTGTGTGTGTGTGTGCATTTTGTTGAGGTGCCTGCGTGTTGCGTATTTGTGTGTGTGTCTGGGTGTCGGCATGTGCATGTGTGTGCTTCTGTGTTCTGAAATGAATTTACCAATGCATACAGCTATGCGTATACATATATATATCCGCCGACATTGCTCGGCGTGTCGGATACTTACTAGAGGATAGAGGATAACCCCCCCCCCTAACCCCCCCCCCGCCCGACGTCTATTACGTAGGTTTTTGGGGGGGGGGTCCCCCACGTACCGCGCGGCAATTTGATGACGTTCCACTAAACGTAGTCTTCGGGGAGCCGGTGTCGCAAAACAGGGGTCCCAGGCTCGATTCCCCCTGCCGGCTTTTTTGCTGGCTTGGGCTTCCTGCATCCTTTTGCCGAAAATCTGGAAAAACTCAATGTTTTTGGACGTCCTCTTTGCGAAAACGCTGGAAAAACCGTGTTTTTTTTTGCGGGAAATACATACATACATGCACATACATACATACATACATACATACATACATACATGCATACATGCATTACATACATACCTACCTACCTACCTACATACATACATACATACATACATACATACATACATACATACATACATACATACATACATACATACATACATACATACATACATACATACATACATACATACATACATTATACATACATACATACATACATACATACATACATACATACATACATACATACATACATACATACATACATACATTACATACATACATACATACATACATACATACATACATACATA